TGGTAAGAGTTGGAAAAATCATATGATTGATTATTTCAATACTCCTTTGTTATAATATTTCTGATCAATGTTTTTTTAAATCATATGCTTGAATTTTAATATTTATATTGAATCACATGCTTAAATATCTTTCCTTCTTCCTTCTTTCTCTCTTTCTTTTTCTTTCTCTCCCTCTCTCTGATTAATGAACAGCATCAGTAACTTTTTGGCCCAAATCTTGGAGCTGCAGATTTAGCTCCTTCCACTTGTGGAAAATAGTCTACATTCATTTTAATAACAAACTTAGCCCTTCTTTGTCAACAAGCAGCCAATCGAACTGAAAATGTCTGAGTTTATTCTTCAATTTAGATTCAATTCAGTGAGATTCAATTCAACTCCATTCAAATAAATGTCTCAATATTCATATCAAGAAATGACAACAAAAGACTGTACAAATCAAAATTATCTTATGTAATTTATTTATACCCTATAAATTTATAAAAATAAGAACATTTATTTCTCATTCCTCAACCTGTTATAATCCAATACACTGTCTACTTAAGACTGTAATTTATTTTGTTTAGCATGTGGAAATAAATAGAAATCACTTGTTTTATTTAACTAAGTTCAGGGGTGCATGTGCAGGTTTTGCCTATGTGGGTAAACTTAAGTCATGGGGGTTTGTTGTAAAGATTATTTTGTCACCCACGAAGCTTAGTACACATTAGTTATTTTTCCTGATCGTTCCCTTCCTCCCACACTACACCCTCTGACAGGCCCCAGTGTGTGTTGTTGCCCTCTATGTATCCCTGTGTTCTCATCATTTGGCTCCCACTTGTAAGTGAGAACATGCGCATTTTTTTTGTCTTAGATGGAATCTCGCTCTGTTACCTAGGCTGGAGTGCAGTGGCACCACCTCAGCCAACTGCAACCTCCACCTCCCAGGTTCAAGCCATTCTGCCTCAGCCTCCTACATGGCTGGGATTTCAGGCACATGCAACCACACCCGGCTAACTTTTGTAGTTTTTCGTAGAGTTGGGGTTTTGCCCTGTTGGTCAGGCTGGTCTTAAACTCCTGACTTGACGTGATCTGCCCACCTTAGCCTCCCAAAGAGCTGGGATTACAGGCCTGAGTTACTATGCTCAGCCTGGTATTTGATTTTCTGTTCCTGCGTTAGTTTGCTAAGGATAATAACCTCCAGCTCCACCTATTTTCCTGCAAAGGACATGATCTCATTCTTTTTATAACTGCATAGTATTCCATGGTGTTAAGGTACCACATTTTCACATTTTCTTTATCCAGTCTATCATTAATAAGCATTTAAGTTGACTCCATGTCTGTGCTATTGTGAATAGTGCTACAATGAACATATTTATGCATGTGTCTTTATAACACAATAATTTCTATTCTAAAGGAATAGACTTCCTTTAGAATAGAAATTATACTATTAGGATTGAATAGCAATCCCAGTACTGGGATTGCTGAGTCAAATGATATTTCTATCTCTAGGTCTTTGAAGAATCACCACACTGTCTTCCACAATGGTTGAACTAATTTACACTCCCACCAACCCTGCATAAGTGTTCCTTTTTCTCTGCAAACTCACCAGCATGTTACTTTTTGACTTTTGAATAATAACCATTCTGAATGGTGTGAGATGATATTTCATTGTGGTTTTGATTTCCATTTCCCTAATGATCAGTGATGTCGAGCTTTTTTTTCATAAGATCGTTGGCTGTATGTGTGTCTTCTTTGAAAAGTATCATGTCCTCTGCCCACCTTTAAATGTTTTTTTTTTCATGTAAATTTGTTTACATTTCTTACAGATGCTGGATATTAGACCTTTGCTGGATGCATACTTTGCAAAAATTTTCCCCAATTCTGTCTGTTGTCTGTCCACTCTGCTGATAGTTTCCTTTGCTGTCCAGAAGCTCTTCAGTTTAATTAGATCCTATTTGCTAATTTTTGCTTTCGTTGCAATTGCTTTCGGCAACTTCATCATGAAATCTTTGCCTGTTCTTATGTCCAGAATGGTATTACCTAGGTTGTCTTCCAGGGTTTTCATAGTTTTATGTTTTACATTTTATATCTTTAATTCATCTTTGGTTAATTTTTGTATATAATATAAGGAAGGGGTCTAGTTTCAATCTTCTGCATATGGCTAGCCAATTATCCTGGCACCATTTATTGAATAAGGAATCCTTTCCCCATTGCTTGTTTTCATCAGGTTTGTCAAAGATCACATCGTTGTAGGTGTGTGGCCCTATTTCTGGATTCTTTATTCTGTTACATTGGTCTATGTGTTTGTTTTTGTACCAGTACCATGCTTTTTTGGTTACTGTAGTCCTGTAGTATAGTTTGAGGTCAGGTAATACGATGCCTCCAGCTTTGTTCTTTCTGTATAGAATTTCCTTGGCTATTTAGACTCTTTTTTGGTTCTGTATGAATTTTTGAATAGTTTTTTCTAGGTCTGTAAAGAAACTCAATGATACTTTAATAGGAATAGCAGGCGTCCCCAAACTACGGCCTGCAGGCCGCATGCGGGCCCCTGAGGCCATTTATCTGGCCCCCCGCCGCACTTCAGGAAGGGGCACCTCTTTCACTGGTGGTCAGTGAGAGGAGCACAGTATATGGCGGCCCTCCAACGGTCTGAGGGACAGTGAACTGGCCCCCTGTGTAAAAAGTTTGGGGATGCCTGGGAATAGCATTGAATCTTTAAATTGCTTTGGGCAGTAGGGCCACTTAAGGATATTGATTCTTCCTGTCCATGAGCATGGAATGTTTTTTATTTGTTTGTGTCATCTCTGATTTCTCTGAGCAGTGTTTCACAGTTCCACTGTAGATCTATTTCACCTCTCTAGCTGCATTCCTAGGTATTTTATTCTTTTTTTTTTAAAATTATAAATGGAATTGCATTCTTGATTTGGCTCTTGGCTTGACTTTTGTGGATGTTTAGGAATGTGAGTGATTTTTGTATACTGATTTTCTATCCAGAGACATTGCTGAAGTTGTTTATTACCTTAAGGAGCTCTCAGACTGAGACTGGGGTTTTCTAGATATAGGATCATCTCATCTGCAAACAGTGATAGTTTGACTTCCATTCTTCCCATTTGGAAGCGTTTTCTTTCTTTCTCTTGCCTGATTGCCCTGGCCAGGACTTTCAATACTATGTTGAATAGCAGTGGTGAGAGGAGAGAGGCCACCCTTACTGTGTGCTGCTTTTCAAGGGGAATGTGTCCATCATACTGAATTTTGCCCATTCAGTATGATGTTGTCTGTGGGTTTGTCATATACAGCTCTTACTATTTTGAGGTATGTTCCTTTGATACCTAGTTTACTGAGAGTGTTAAACAGGAAGGGATGTTGAATTTTATTGAAGGCCTTTTCTGCATCTATTGAGATAATCATGTGGTTTTCCTTTTTAGTTCCGTTTAAGTGATAAATCACATTTATCGATTTGTGTTGACTTGTGTATGCTGAGCCAACCTTGCATCCCAGGGATAAAACCTACTTGATAGTGGTAGATAAGCTTTTTGATGTGCTGTTGAATTTGGTTTGCCAGTATTTTGTTGAGGATTTTGCATCAATGTTCATCAAGGATATTGGCCTAAAGTTTATTTTTTACTGAAACCTCACACTTTTTAAAGCTCAGAAATAACATCAATATACCGAATCATCATAATTGTACTTTTTCTACACATATAACGAAAGAAAAAATCTGCTAAAAGATAACTGGTTGAGCAGTTAGAATAAAATTGCACTTTTTCATAGTGATAAACTGTACTTAGAACAATTGTACTACAGTATAGTAAAATTCTTTTTTGTGTAGCTTTTATAGTAAATTCTTAATCTCATTTGATAAACTAGGTTTAAAATTCCCTTTTGAATCAAATACATTGATTCTAAATAATTCATGTAAAACTTGTAGCCATGGGTTCTACTTAGTGTAAAAAGAAACTTTCAATAGTCCCAGAAAAAAGATTCAAGTAACTTTTTTTTTTTTAAACACAGAGTCTTGCTCTGTTGCCCAGACTGCAGTACATAGATGTCGGCTCACTGGAAACTCCACCTCCCAGGCTCAAGTGATTCTCCAGCCTCAACTTCCCGAGTAACTGGGATTACAGGCACGAGCCACCACAACCTGCTAATTTTTGTATTTTTAGTACAGACAGGGTTTGACCACGTTGGCGAGGCTGATCTCTAACTCCTGACCTCAGGTGATCTGCCTGCCTTGGACTCCGAAAGTGAGATTCAAGTAACTTAGCAAATCAGTCTCACCAAGCTGTATTGCTTCAGATATTTAAAGGTGCATTTCTTTCCTGTTATTATCAAGACTCAGAAATGAGAATTGAGAATCACTTTTAGAAACTGTTTATATTCAGATATTTGAAGAACATGTAATTCTCAGTGTTCATTATTTCATACCTGTGTTCTGTTTTTTTTCTTGGCATTCATGACCTCTCCCTTAAACAGAAAGGCAGGTGTCCTGTACAAGTCAATAAGCTGAAATAGCATGAGTCCTTGTGTGCACAAAACCTTTGTCCCCTTAGGCCTGGAAGGGGCCGAGGCGATATGTTTAATATTGTCACTACATTTTCATGAAATGTGTAATAGTAAGATAGACTATCCTTAACTGCTGCCCCTTGTAAGGCTGGTTGCCTCTCGGGAGTTCGGACACACCCATCTCCCTTCCCGATTGAAAATTTACATTATGTCAATCATCTAGCTCTGCCTTGGAAATCCCCTCTGCACTCAGCACCTAACCACACCCTTGGAAATCACCTTTGCACTCAGCACTTAGCCCGCTCACTGGAAGTCCCACCTACCTGCCAATAGCAGCTCACCCCGTCCACATCCTGTTTCTCCAAATCCAATCGAATGCCTTCGCTCCCTATAAAACCCCCCTCCTGAGAGGAATCAGCAGGACTTCTCTGGCCCCTCTCCCCAGGACCACAGGATGTCTCCTGGGAGCTGAATAAATTGGCATCTAATTTTCTTGTGCTGGCCTCAGTTTCCTCATTTTTAACTCGGCAATAAACCTACAGAGAATAAACTTTACACTCCTGTCACTTTGACATGCCTCTCTCTACATCCAGCTTGCAGGAGTGGTCCTCAGGCTTTTTGGAGGCTCTGACTAAACAGGTGAGTTGGAGACTTTCTCCTTTTTTAAAAATTTTTTCTTCTTTCTTCTTTTAATTGGAGATACTTTCATTATGAGTTTAATGGAATATTTTTGTACAATTTATAGTTGTTCAGTCATAACCATTTATACTTCTTACTTTAATTGTCCTCATATCGAAACGTCTTTCAAAATCCTAGCACTTTGGGAGGCCAAGGTGGTGGATCACCTGAGGTCAAGAGTTCAAGTCCAGCCTAGCTGACATGGTGAAACCCTGTCTCTACTAAAAATAAAGAAATTAGAGGGCGTGGTGACATGTGCCTATAATCCCAGCTACTCAGGAAGCAGAGGCAGGAAAATCACTTGAACCCAGGAGGCGGAGGTTGCAGTGAGCTGAGATTATGCCACTGCACTCTAGCCTGGAGAAGAGAGCAAAAACTCCATCTCAAAAAAACAAAACAAAGCAAAACAAAAAACCCTCCCTGCATTATGATATGACATGATGTGAACTTGCAGTACCACCAAATGAACTTGTCTGATGGAGCTTGCTACCAGAAATTTGAGGATAGTGTAGGAGAAAGCAAGAAACAGGTCTACAAAAATGAATTCTTCCCAATCTTATAGCTCATATTTGAAAGAAACTTTAGAGCAATGGTCTCACAGTTGGAAACAATCCAAAATAGTGCCACCAGGTATTACTGACAATGAGTTATAAAGCTTTCAGAAAGTTTTGTAAGTTATCAATACTAAGGAAAAAAATCCAGTCAATCGTGCTAGAGGAAAGATTGAATTATCTTTCTCTTCTGTCCACAGAAATATATTCTGTCCACAGAACTATTGTTAAACAAAGAAGCGACCAAAACCTACAGCCAAAACACGGAGGAAACAATGCTTTCTCATTGAGCTGGTTAACAAAACGTGTTATTTTTCTGAACTTTGCGATATCTGCAGCATTGGCAAACATTTTCAAATTGGAAACAAACGTAATTTGTTGAATTTTTTTTTCTAAATAGTCACATTTGTACATAATTTTAATAGTAATTTTGTATTCTTTTTCATACAGAGTTTCCTCAAGTTTGATCCTCTTCAAGATCCTAAACTTGGATAGACACCTACACAAACAGCAATGCATCCTTTTCCAATAGGAGGGGGATGGAAGAGGTGAGGTCAGTAAACAAAAATTGCCATCATTCCCACCACTCTCACACCACAAAATATTTAGCTTCAGAATATCTCAAGATGGAGAGGACACTCCATTTCTAAAATAATCTTCCACAAAACTATGTATAAGACAGGGAAAGAGGGTAAGGCTTATGGTTCTATGGTGACTCTGATCCTTAAAAGTGTAACCTCCTGAGCAATATCTTGAATTTTCTTTTTATTTGCCTTCTTCACTTTTTTAAATAACATGTCAAGAAATACATCATGGGAAGGATCACAATAGGGAAGAGGATACCTTTCTTTTATGAATTACAAGAAGCTTGTTATAAAAGGTAATATAGGAAAAGTGAAGTTGAAGCCTTGAATATCAGTAACTTTGAGAACATTAACTTTAAAATCACCCTAACCAGTGATTCTCACAGATAGTCCCTAAATACCTTTGCGGGGAGCTGTCCCCAAGTAGAATCACTCTGCTCTAGAACAGATAAAATGGAGTCTTAGGCAATGGTGGTCACATACACCAAGCCATAAGCTAGACCTAAGTGTGATGGCCAGCCGGCCCTCTGTCTGCCTCCGACTCTCTCTGCCTTCCTCTGACTTTGTGTGCCTCTTTTGCTCTATTTATCCCATCTTTCACCCCTCCGGTTGGCAGCTGTCTCTTTACCCAGCCACAGGTCCTGCTTTCTCTTCCTTTCACTCTCTTACATATCCTTCCTTCCTACCCTTCCCCCCCCCTTGTCTACTCATTCTCTTTATAACAGTTATGAATTCAAGTTTTTAAGCTTGTGCAATTTTGAGAGTGGTTTTAGGTTTACAGAAACATCATGCAGAATGTACAGAGAGTTCCCATATCCATCCCTCCCTTCCCCTCCATTAACGGCTTGCATTAGTGGGGTATCTTGTTACAGCTGATACTGAGACATGATTATTAACTAAAGCCCGTAGTTCACATGAAGGTTGACTCTTTATGTTGTGTGGTTCTGTGGATTTTGACGAATGTCACGTATCTATGATTACACATTCTACATAACAGTCTCACTGTCCTAAAAATTTCCCATGTTCCTTCTCATTCCTTCCCCTTACAATTATTTCCTCCTAAAAACTAATATCCAAAACTTCACCTATGTGGCCTTTGAAAAAAACAAAGTTGATTTATTTCCAGGCAGTCTTGTAGATGTTTAAGAACAATAACTCATATTCCATTCATTAATTCATTTGATTTCTATAATAAAAATAATTGTCTCCACTTTAGGAATGAATCTATTGAATTTCAGAAAACCCAAATGACTTGTTCAAGGCTACGTGACTAATTGAGGATGTGTGTGGGTGGCACCAGGATCCATATTTGCTGATGGTTGACCAACAGTCTCTCCACGCTACCACTTCTCAACTGCCCCTGAGCTTTCTCAGAAATGACAGGAGTGTGTTAAGGAGGACACTGATTTGTGGCTCGTGACTTTCAAGGATTCTGTCAGTCCTCACCTATAACATGTTTATCAGAAGATACAGCTCAAGTGTTCTTATACAGAGTTTGATGATGCACTGAATTATTTAATAACTTTTATCTCTAAAAATTCACTTCATGTGAACTCTTATTCTTCTATTAAATCATCCATCGATTAGACTATTTATTCCTGCCCTTAACCCACCCTCCCAATATTTACAGGTTTGTTATGCTTAGTAAAGGGCCAGTACTATGTATTTTATAATCAAACCAATTTCAAATAGGAACTTCTCAGCACTTTTAGTTTCAACTGCAATCTTATGGCCATACATTTTTGTTTCATATTGATTCACACATGAAGGATAGCTTTTGCCCTGGGTAAAGACAGGCTCAGCCATGCTCATTTTTTGGTTTTTACTAACACTCTCTATGTGATGCAGAGAGCACAGTGTTGTTTATGCTGACAGCTGTGCGTGAATATTTTTACTATTTTGAGATGTGAACAGGTTGACTTTTTGGGTGTACAGGCAAGTGAGTACATTGTTATTGGCACATTAGCACTTTCTTGCAGATTAATAATAGATTTTCTTCTTAATTCCGACTTTTTTCAGTGATACTACCAGATCACAAAATGTATAATCATATTTAAGTTCCAAAATTTTTCACCAAATGCCATGATGCAAAAAATTTTTAATGTAATTTGTTAAGTGATTATTCATATGGCAGATAGAATCAAAGGTAGGATATTGCAGGAAATAATATTTGAGCCACGTTCTTAGTCCCAACTCTCAATTTTATTTTAAGAAAGATATCTTCAGAAGCCGTTCCTTCATTCAAGTGACTAGGATACAAGCATAACAGAATTTCAGCTCACTAACATGCACCTCCCTGAAAGCTATCCATTGGTCAATATATGTTATACATTAAAGTTGGCCCAAGAAAACAATTCAGCTTGTTCTACTAGTCATGAAACTTATTTTTAAAATGTTAATACGCCTTATTTTTAGAGCAATTGTAGGACTGTAGAAATACTGCACAAAAGTACAGAGAGTTCCCAGGTAGCTCCCTCCCCTTGTTACCAAAATGCTGGGGTTTCCATCTAGGTCTTGCTTCTTGCCACACAGAAAGCCATTCATTGAGACAATGAGTGTTACCAGGGAAGAAGGGTTTATTCTGGTGCTGCAGCTGAAGGAATTGGAGATCAGTCTCAAATCCATCTCTATAGCTGACTAAAACTAAGGGTTTATATAGCATGGAATAATTGTAACCATTTGTGGAAAAACAGAAATTAGGGAGGGGTAAGGAGAAGAGTTGGACCACATATACTGCAGGTAAGAACGTAAATTAGTTCAGCCCCAGTGGAAAGTAGTTTAAAGATTTCTCAAAGAATTAAAAACAGAATTACCATTTGACTCAGCAATCTCATTAGTGGGTACATACACAGAGAAAAAGAAATCATTCTATAAAAAGATACGTGCACTCATATATTTATCACAGCCCTATTCACAATAGCAAAGAAATACAATCAACCCAGGTGCACATCAATGGTGGATTAAAGAAAATGTAGTTTATGTACAGTGATATGGTTTGGCTGTGTCCCCACCCAAATCTCATCTAGCTACTTTTGTAGCTCTCATAATCTCCACATGTCATGGAAGGGACCAAGTGGGAGGTAACTGAATCACGGGGGTAGGTGTTTCCTGTGCTGTTCTCGTGATAGTGATTAAGTCTCATGAGATCTGATAATTTGATACAGGGCAGTTCCCCTGCACTTCTTCTTGATGCCCCATGTAAAGAACATGTTTACTTTCTCTTCCATTGTGATTGTAAGTTTCCTGAGGCCTTCTCAGCCATGCTCATCTGAGAGTCAATTAAACTTCTTTTCATAAATTACCCAGTCTCGAGTATGTCTTTATTAGCAGCATAAGAATGGACTAAGACAAACACCATGGAATACTACTCAGCCATGAAAAAGAATGAAATCATGTCCTTTGCAACAACATGGATGCAGCTGGAGGCTATAATCCTAAGCAAATTACTGTAGAAACAGAAAACCAAATATTACATGTTCTCATTTATAATTGGGACCCAAACATTGGGTACACATGGGCACAAAGATGGAAACAATAAGCAATGAGGGTAGCAGGGAGAGAGAGAGGAAGAGGAGAAAGGGTTGGAAAACTACCTATGAGGAACTATGTTCACTACTTGGGTGACAGAATCATTAGAAGCCCAATATACGCATGTAATAAACCTATACTCGTACCCCTCAAATTTAAAAAAAAAATGACAGATGCACTCACTGCCTTTATAGAGCCTACTCTTTCATAACCATTTATTTAAGATAGCTAATTCATCCACTTATGCTTTCTCTTATTACTTTCAATTTTAAAACTGACCTTTCTCACCAGGTCTTTACATTGTAGAAATAGGTGCTATACTTCCTAAGCGCTGCCTTATCACTGAGGACAAATTCGTGAAATGATATTCTTTCTGCTGAGAAATGAAATAGTATAGTCCAGATTCAGGAAATGGGGATAAAGACAACTCAGTTTCACTTCTAGGTTCCTAAAACGGGCAGAGGCTGTCATCCCCATTCTCTTAACTACTGAGTCATCTTGAAATCTAGATCACCACTAGCCATAAAATCCCCTAAATAGAAACGTAGCAAAGCCTGAATAAATCATTGATCTAAGAGTCAGAGAAGTCTTCTTTATCCTCACCTCTGTAACTGATGTTTGTAACACATTTGCTATAATTTGTCTAAATTTCTCTGTCTGGAATCACAGCGTTAAGAACAGGAGGTAAAAAGTGTTACAATATTCACTTGATAAACACTACATGTTAAAATTTTCATTAGTAGTACCATGTTGTAGTAATGAACTTTTAAATTCACTTTTAAAGAAATTATGAGATAAACGCTTACTGGTGTAATACCCTTCCTTCTTTACATACAAGAAAAGTTGGGAGCATACAGCATTCAGTAAATTTCTGTAGATACTGGAATTTAGATAATAGAAATAAATTGTTACACAGGGTTCACTCTTAGGAGAATATAATTGTGATATAGTTTTATTTGAGCTGTACTTGAGGTTATTTGCAGACAGTGAGTCATTTTGAGTTGAAATATTGTTGTATGCCCCAGGAGGAGATGGTTGCCAAACTCTTGCTTAGGATAGGAAAACAGCAGCTCATTCACTCACCCAAAGCATAGGGCAATCAAAGAACAAATGTCAATCAAATTGGAGTATTTTTCCCTAGCTTTCATTCACTGAAGTGGCTAAGTGTAGCCTGCAGTGAGTAAAACACATCTGATACGATTTTGGAAGGGCAATAAGGAAGCCAACAAAGGATATGGTACTATTCATGGTATAGGTCCCTTAATTTAAAAAAATCTCGAGTACTTTTGTCCAATGCAACTTTCTGCAATTACAGAAATATTCTTTCTATACCCATTTTGTTCAACATGATAGACACTAGACACTTGTGGCTAGAAGCCATTTGTAATGTGACAAGTGCAGCTAAGAAACTTAATTTTTAATTTCATTCAATTTAAATTAATTTAAATTTAAATAGCCTTCTATTGCTAGTGGCTACAGTATTGAACAGGTCTAGAGAGAAAAATCATCACTCACAATAGGATCAGGCTTCTGGAGAATACAGTGACTAAAGACTGATTATATAAAATGAGAAAATAGATTTAAGAGATCCTTGAGTTAGTAAAAATGGCTATCTATCTCAAAGCCTGACAAGCTGGGTTCAAATCTCAGTTTTGCTACTCACTGCTTTTGTGATCCTCATCAACCTGTTATGCTTTTCTCAGCCTCATTGTCATACTCTGTAAAACAAATTAATAAAGACAGCAGTTCTCAGTAAATTCCCCTTTAGGAAAATGCAGCATTCTCAGAATATTTTACCCTTAGAAAAAGGAAAAAATGGCTAAATAGTTGACATGTGATTTTAAAAGATAATTTGAAGTAAAGTTTATTATCAACTAGTAACATAAATTTATGACATTTAGTGATCCCTTATAACATGCTAGCCATTCAGATTATCTTGTTTTACCCTCATTACAAGCGGTAATAATTAAGTCTTGGTATCATACATTCCATTTTACACGTAAGGATATTCAGACCTTGAGAGATTCAATGATTTGCTCAAGGTCATACAACTATTAAGGTGTAAAAACAGAAGTTGAATTCAGGTCTCTGCAGTTCCCAATAAAGTGTTCTTCAGCAGGTACTTTGCTGTCTTTGTAAAGTATGGTAACAAGAACTGTCAGATCTGTTTCTGAGAATAAAGTATACTAAATATTCTGATAATCCCTCCGACTATAAAACACTCAGGAAATCTAGGAAAAATTTAACAATCCTCCTGCTAAATGTGCACCTGAGCATACACACATGTAAGAGAAATCCCAATGGTCAGAAATCAAGAGGAAGCTACAATATAATTGGTAAGCGAAGAAGACCAGTGGTTTCTTTCATATGTTATCTAAAGGACAAAGATATGCAGAAATTGGACTTCATCAGAATTAAAACTTTTTTATTGCAAGAGACAGGATGAATAAAGTGAAAAGACAACCCACAGAATGGGAGAAAATATTTGTAAATATTGACTTAATATCCCAAATATGCAAGGAAGTCTTACAATTCAACAACAAAAAGACAACCCAATTTTTTTTAAATGGACAACGGACTTAAAAGCACAGTTTTCCAAAGATGATATTCAAGTAGCCAACGTGCGTATGAAAAGATACTCACTACTGTTAGTCACTAAAGAAATGAAAATCAAAACTACGGTGAGTTACCATTTATACTCACCATATGGCTATAAAAAGAAAAGACAGATAATAGCAGCTGTAGGCAAGAATGTGGAGAAATTTATAGCCTCAGACATTGCTGGTAGAAATGTAAAAATAGTGCAGCTCTTTTGTAAAAACAATTTGATGGTTACTCAAAAAGTTAGAGTTTCCACATGACCAGGCAACTCCACTTGTAGGTATATATTCAAGGAAAATGAAAAATTCTCTATACCTACACAACAATGTATATATCTATATTTAAAGCAATACTATTTATAGAAACCCCAAAGTGAAAACAACCCAAATACCTATACACTTATGAATAATTACACAATATGTATTATATTTGCACAGTGGAATATTATTCAGCCATAAAAAAGAATGGCATTCTGACACATTCTACAACATGGATGAACCTTGAAAACATTATGCTAAGAAAAAGAAGCCAGTCATAAAAGGCCCCCGTCATATAATTTATTTTGTAGAAAATGTCCAGAATAGGCAAATTCATAGAGATGGACAGTAGATTAGTAGTTGTATCAAGCAAGGGGATGAAGGGTGATAAGAGGTGATGCTAACGGGTGTGCGTTTCTTTGGGAAATGATAAAAATGTTATGGAATAATATAATGATGATAGCTATTAGCTTTGTGAAAATACTAAAATCCACTTAATTGTTTACTTTAAAGGAGTAAATTCTAAGGTATGTGAATTCTATCTCAATAAAAGAAAAACAGAAGTCCATACCATCTTGAAGAATCTGTTTATTAAGATTTTAATGGAAAAAAAGACAGAATATTGGTAAATTAAAACTCAGATTTTTGCCTAAAGTTCTAGGAAATACCTACTTACTGGCATTACCTGTGTGGCCTAGAAAAGACAAAGACAAAGAAGTTAATGTTGAGTTATGGTACTATGGAATCCTGGCAGAAGAACATACAGCTTCCCGGGAAGAAAGCATCCTCAAACCAGGCTCTCAGGCTGTACACAGACTAAGGTCGGCCAAATTTTAACTCCCCATTTAAAATTACTCAGTACTAAAAGAAATTATCAATGTTGACCAAAAGTTTGCAGAAACAACAAAAAGGGCATAATCAGAACCATCAAGAATGCCACATACTGGAATTACCAGACACAGAAGTAAGATTAATCTGTGTAAGATTAAGAAATGAGATAATATAAAACTTGTGCAAGGATCAAGAACCAGAATAAATGACCAATATATTTGCTAAAAGAAAGAAAGAGCTAAAGAGAGATAGAGAAAAACAAAGAAAGAGATAGTTGAGTTTATAGAAATATGACATATATGTATATATTCATAAGTACTTAAAAATGTGTAATTGATCATTTAAATTGGATTACTATACCCAAAGAGAAAATCTGTTAACTAAAAAAAATATATATGGAAAAATATACCTGACATCCAGCATAGAAATAACAATATAGAGAACAAAAGAGAGAAAAGAGACATGGAAGATGAAAAAAATAAAGGTGGATTGCACATCTAATTCTGGCACAAAGAGGGAGCAATAAAATGAGGATGAGAAATAC